GCTTAAAAATAATAATTAAAAAAATATTTGAAAAATCATTTATAAAAAAGATATGATATAATAATTTACATGTAAAATTTTAGAAAAATAAATAAATAGAGATAAAATTTATTTAAATTTTTTGGGCCTTTAATTAGAATTTCGTTTTAGGTCTTGAATCATGTTGAGCCGCCTCTAGCATTCATACAAGTGTGTGTCGGCAGCTTTGCGCGTGCTACTTTTAATTTATTCAGAAAATTGTGCGCTTCACTTTAAAGAAAGCATGTTAATTGAAATTTGATTATAACTTACTGTATTCATACAAGTGTGTGTCGGCGGCTTTGCGCGTGCTACTTTTAATTTAATCAGAAAATCGAGTGCTTCACTTTAATGAAAGAATGTGCTTTACTTGTTACTTTTCACTTCAACCCCCAGGGGCCCACTGAGCTTGTTGCATTTTTCTTTTTGTGCTTTTCTGCTCTTAGAAACAATGTTGTAATTTTCTCGTGGTGCGTGTGGATTAATTTTAACAACTATTTAAATGAGGTTACCTTTCTGAATCTGTTTGCATGTTTGTCTGCCCGTTTATCGAATTGACTCAATAGTTTTATGCTGCAATTTAATCCAGGGAAAGAAAAGGAAGGATACAGTTGTCATTGCTCTTGCTGATGAAACATGTGATGAGCCAAAGATTAGGATGAACAAGGTTGTCCGTTCAAATTTGAGGGTCCGTCTTGGAGATGTTGTGTCTGTGCACCAATGCCCAGATGTTAAGTATGGGAAGCGTGTCCACATACTTCCTATAGATGATACAATAGAAGGTCTCACCGGGGATTTGTTTGATGCGTTCCTGAAACGTAAGTGTACTGACACATGCAATTTCTTTCAATTGAATAGCTCAAGCATGATTTTAGGTTGGGCAATTTAAGGCTTTATTCTCTGCACTGTTGTGGTATAGGAATTTCCAATCCATTGAACTTCTCATAAAATCTAAAAATTAATAAGGGTGGGTTATAGGGACAGGGTAGTAGTGATGATGAAAAAAGACTGTCAATATCATGGATTTGATTTTCACGATCACAAACTATGCATCTTACTCTCTTTGTCTGGTTTAGTTTTTGTTCCTGTGATTAGATTTAAATTCTGAGCACCCAAAATTAAGGAGACAAGCCAGGTGCCTAATTAGTATCTGGCACCATAATGCTATCAACTGAATTTGGTATCCTTGCTTCACAGTAAGTATATTTAAAACCTAATAGCTCTAGAAGATTATTGTTCTTCCAGTGGTACTATCAAAAGGACACACCATCTGTTAGTGCGGACTTTAAGTTATATAATTTGTGCGCAATGTAATCCAACTGGTTTTAGACAAGTGAATATCATTAATTTGATTTTCCCATCAAATAACTTGATTATTCTGGGTATATTGTTGCACTTGGGGAACTCGTTATTGATGGGCCACAGTGCCATTTTAAGTTTGTTATCTGATAGAACTATAATTTCTGTCTTGTTCCTTCTGGTGATAGTACAATCTTTGAGATAATAGTCCAGGAGAATTTTGGGTTTTTTTGGGAGAATATGGAGTTGCAGCAGTTGTTTGCCCTCTTTATTGTGCATCTGTTTTGGGTTCCAGTATTTATTAAAATATCTCCAATTCATGGTCTTTCCCTTATTTTGTACATTCTACTCTTCGATTGGCAATTGGCAGTGAAAATTAAAGGGCGAAGGTTGTCTTCTATGTTAGTGAATTTGTATCTGCATTATCTGTAAGCGCAGTCTGTTTTGGCCTCAATTTTAAGCATATCCCTTTTTGCAGCGTACTTTTTGGAAGCATATCGTCCTTTGAGGAAAGGAGACAATTTTCTTGTTAGAGGGGGGATGAGAAGTGTGGAATTCAAAGTCATTGAGACTGACCCAGGGGAGTATTGTGTTGTTGCCCCAGACACTGAAATCTTTTGTGAGGGGGAGCCTGTTAAAAGGGAGGATGAGGAGAGACTGGACGAAGTTGGCTATGATGATGTTGGTGGTGTGAGAAAACAGATGGCTCAAATTCGTGAACTGGTGGAACTACCATTGAGGCATCCTCAACTTTTCAAATCCATTGGTGTGAAACCACCAAAGGGGATTTTACTTTATGGGCCCCCTGGTTCTGGGAAGACCCTGATAGCAAGAGCAGTGGCTAACGAAACAGGTGCATTTTTCTTTTGCATTAATGGACCAGAAATCATGTCCAAATTGGCTGGTGAGAGTGAAAGCAATCTCAGGAAGGCATTCGAAGAGGCTGAGAAAAATGCTCCATCTATTATATTCATTGATGAGATTGATTCAATTGCTCCCAAGCGAGAGAAGACACATGGTGAAGTTGAGAGAAGGATTGTTTCACAGCTCCTGACTCTGATGGATGGACTGAAATCTCGTGCTCATGTCATAGTTATGGGAGCTACCAATCGTCCTAATAGCATTGATCCCGCTCTCAGAAGGTTTGGTAGGTTTGATCGGGAAATTGACATTGGTGTTCCTGATGAAGTTGGACGTCTTGAAGTTCTTCGTATTCATACCAAGAATATGAAGCTTGCAGAAGAAGTAAGTCAACTTATTGAATTTCCTTCTTCTTTTTCGGACCAAATTTGTCTTTGTTGCATAATGGTGAGTGTTTGATTCTGCAGGTTGATTTGGAAAGAATATCAAAAGATACACATGGTTATGTCGGTGCAGATCTTGCTGCTCTTTGCACTGAAGCTGCACTTCAGTGCATTAGAGAGAAAATGGATGTCATTGATCTGGAAGATGATTCCATTGATGCTGAAATATTGAATTCAATGGCTGTCACAAATGAGCACTTCCAAACTGCTCTAGGAACAAGCAATCCATCTGCATTGCGTGAAACAGTAAGTATCCTATTACGACCCAGTTATGTAATGTAGCTTGCAACCTGATCATGTGCCATGTTCTAGTTGCTTATGATTTTCCTGTCATTTTGTCTGTATGGTTTTATGGATGGGATAGATGAGTTATGTTTTTTTAAGTTCTCAAATTTATTGGGTTCTTTCGTGAAAATTATGCGCAGGTTGTTGAAGTGCCTAATGTATCATGGGAAGACATTGGAGGCCTTGAAAATGTCAAAAGAGAGCTTCAAGAGGTAATTGAATTCAATAACTTGGCCTTGATGCATTATATACGCCACTAAGTTCTGTCTTAGGAGGGTTTCATCATTGTTCTTGTTTCACATTATGTAGACTGTTCAATACCCCGTGGAGCATCCAGAGAAGTTCGAGAAATTTGGTATGTCACCTTCAAAAGGTGTTCTTTTCTATGGTCCTCCGGGATGTGGGAAAACTCTTCTTGCCAAGGCAATTGCAAATGAGTGTCAAGCCAATTTCATTAGTGTCAAAGGACCTGAGCTGCTTACCATGTGGTTTGGAGAGAGTGAGGCCAATGTCCGTGAAATTTTTGACAAGGCTAGACAATCTGCACCCTGTGTCCTCTTCTTTGATGAGCTTGACTCTATTGCCACTCAGGTAAGATTGTTTTCAAGTTTACCCCAAATTGTTTGTTGTAAGCAAACACAGGAACCTTTGGCGGATTATGTGGACTTAGACCGCACATATATCCTAACCTGGCAATCAATTCGATAAATCTGTAAAAAGGAGGAGAACAGGAAAAAAAGTAGTTATCCGTGTATCACTGCTTACGAAGAATGTTGCTTGATTTATTTTGCAGAGGGGAAGCAGTAGTGGTGATGCTGGTGGAGCAGCTGATCGGGTTCTCAACCAACTTCTGACTGAAATGGATGGCATGAATGCAAAGAAAACTGTTTTTATTATTGGGGCCACAAACAGGCCTGATATTATTGACCCTGCACTTCTGCGACCCGGTCGACTTGACCAGTTAATTTATATCCCACTGCCAGACGAAGACTCGCGCCATCAGATTTTCAAGGCATGTCTTAGAAAATCTCCCCTATCAAAAGATATTGATTTGAGAGCTCTTGCCAAATATACTCAGGGATTTAGTGGAGCCGATATCACTGAGATCTGTCAACGGGCCTGCAAATATGCCATAAGGGAGAATATTGAGAAAGTAAGTCCTTCTGTTTTTAAATTTTCAACTTTGGTTTTGCTCTTTTTAGTTTTTGAGGTCACATCATCTATCTTTGTTCTTACAGCTTTTTATCCGTGCTGTTTACTGTTGTACATCTACTGATAATGGGGTCTTAAAGACTTTAAACTAGTGGGTGGAAGTACCACTCCACCTTGTTGCAGTGAGTGTGGACTTGGTATAAAGTAATATAAAAAATATATTCATACTGTGTCCTTGTGTATGCGTATGCGCCAGCACATGCTGCTGCTAAGATGGATTTGCCACTGCTGATACTTATATTGAACAGTGTTTTAGGTTGTTTTGTGTCATCATCTGTGCTGAAATATTGAAATGATGGTGCTCTTCGGTTCTTTGTTAATGGTTTTTGTTGTCTTCAGTTTGATGGTTGCCAAAATAAATATCTGAATTCAAGTGTTTTATCTCCTCTCCGTTTCTTGCAAAACAGCTATGTGCTGTATACTCTTGCTTTAAACTCCGTGTTAACTTTTGTTAGCTGGTCTCTCATGTCAATGTTTGCAAGGGTTGCTAACGTTTGTTTTTTTAAGTGGGCGTAATTAACATCCTATTACTTGTCAAATGGCGTTCTTGTTACAGGATATAGAAAAGGAAAAGAGGCGAGCAGAGAATCCTGATTCTATGGATGAGGATGCTGATGATGAGATATCAGAGATCAAGCCTGCTCATTTTGAGGAGTCCATGAAGTATGCACGACGAAGTGTGAGTGATGCCGATATTCGTAAATACCAGGCATTTGCTCAGACCTTACAGCAATCTCGAGGTTTTGGAACGGAATTTCGGTTTTCTGAGACCAGTGGTGGAGCTGCTGCATCTGATCCCTTCACAACTTCTAATGCTGGAGCCGATGATGATGACCTGTATAGCTAAAGTTATGGACTATCCTGTTATTTTGCTGCGACTTCTTTCTTTTCCGTTGTTGCTAGCGCTATATAGAGTTTCCTAAACAATTTACTTATTTGTTTCTGGAAGCTGTAATGCTACTCGTCCAACTGTTGGTTTATTTTGCTCGCTCTTTAATGTTGTTATCTTGAGGTGTTCTATGACATTTTAAAGAAACCTCAATAGCTTTGCTAATATAGTGGACCTTGGTAATTTATTCTCTTCACCTTTTCCCTTTTGATGCATTTCTTTCTTGTTACCAGGCTCTAATTTGCCTTTGTATAATAGGTGCTAATTCACTTAAAATTGCTACAGTTTCTGTAAACGAGCATCTAATATTCAAAAATGTCTAATTGCAGTGGTAGTTTTGCTGAAATAACTTGGTGTGTGTTTGAGAACAAATAGACAAATTATGTAAACTTAGTTATGTGTGATCTCTACATCTTGCAAAAAATGCATGCAGAATATTGAGTTGAAAATGTCTGAAATAATATCTCCGCCCTCTTTCTGCCAAATTACGTAAGATTATTCTTGTAATGTTTCAACTCCAAATGAAATCTACATGACAAATAATAATCTGTCAACATGTTTCTAATAAGTCTAAATGTTAGTAACAAAGGAGACCTTAGAAAAGAAATTCACAATTTACTCTGTTTAAGACTTGTACATGCAAGTTAACCTACTATAACAAACAGACAAACAAAGTTGCATAATGCAAATTTTCGTCTTTCTTTCTTAATAAGTAGCAAAATTAGCAGTAACGTAAAATACAGAAGTATAAATTCAAGTCAATTTAATACAACATAACATGAATTATTATATTAGATAAAAAGAATAATACCGCTTATTCGTATGAATCAGTTACATTGCTGGGCTAGTTAATTAAGGTTGCTTGAAATGCTTATCTTGTGAACATCCAATTCCAAGTTCACCAAGTATATGATTGTTCACAAATCTGCTTGGACCAGATGCATGTCTGAACCCTTTTGGTAAGCAATTCTTGATTTCCTTCCCATGAAAAACAGGACGTTTATTATGACGATTCGTCAACTCGGGTTTCATTATCATGTATTCTTCAGATAATTGACGGACTCCCACAGCTTCATTTATTAAAAATGATAGCAAAAGCAGGCAAAAAACATATAGTATAAGAAATATATTTTTATTGGAAGCTGCATTTGTCATTTTTAAACAAGTGTGGAGTTCCTGTAAAACTATGATGTGTGGTTTATAACAAGTGAAACTATAAATAGGCTCGTGAGGAGTAGAGGCGGCAGATATAAAGATTTGTACACAGCTCATTGCAAGCAGACAGTACAAACCATGCAACCAAAAAGTATAAATTTTGTTTACTCCTAACACATAATTTTTCATCTAAAATTTAATATCATAATAATAGTGTCTGGTGTATAAAGTATCTCGTGTTAGCAGGACTAGGCCCCTATAAAATTTAATATCATAATAACAGTGTCTGGTGTATAACGTATCTCGTGTTAGCAGGACTAGACCCCTATTTTTATATGGTGGCCCGTGATCGTTGGTCATTAATTGCTATAAAATGATGAACTTCTCTCTTCCTTAATTTCTCTCATTAATACATTTTTACTTTCTCTCTATGAATCTTTGGTACGTCTTCATTGTTGCTTCACTTCTATCATTTAATATTTCGACGCACCTTATTCATTTTTTCATTAAAAGAGTATATATATTAATGAAGTATGTATATTTGGGACCGATGGTTCGCCCTTCTTAATTGCTACGATCTATTTTTAATTTATGGAGTTGGAATTATGGTTTTAAAATTAAATTTCGAATTTCTTCATTAGACATTATTCATGATTGCTACAATCTATTTTTAATTTATGGAGTTAGAAATATGATTTTTAAAATTAAATTGCGATAGATTGACCTTATCTAATGATCTATCACGTTCATGCATGTGTTTTCCATTACTATTACAACTACAATCTGATTTCAATGTTACCTATGTGTATTTCGATCACTCCTATGTAATAGCTCACAAATTATTATACGAGAAATGTAAACTGCACTAGGTAAACATAATGTAACGAGCTTCACTAAAAAAGTATTGACTATTGATAAGGTAAATCGAACGGTAAATCGAATTCTAACCAATTTTATTGGATACCACATGTTACACAACTCAACCACCTTACGGATTTAATGTTCTTACTAACGTACCTTTCACCAATTTTATGAAGACGTCGGATACATAAAGCGCTGCTACCTTAATTGATGCAACAGCTATTGGGTAAACTTATGTCTTTTATATTATTACTATTATTATTATTATTATTATTATGAGAATTTTGTTGCTATAAGATTTAGATGAAAGTAAATACTTACAATTTATTGTTCTACTAGTCTCTCTAGCTGAACAATTATGTCTCTCAACTTTTCTCTTTTTTTCAACTTGCAAGATTAGAATTTTTATGTGTGAGATATCAAGTGGTTAGAATTTAGAGTTCTATATATTCATTCAGTTTATTGAGAGATCAATGCTACGAAAAGTGGTTGAAAGGAGAAATAATAAAGGCATATATTTATCTCTTTTTACTAATAAAATTTTGATTCGAGTCATCTATTAAGAAAATCTTGATTGTTATAGTAAATTTATCATTTTATCCTAATTGATAGAATTTCAAAAATTTTTACTTTCTGCATTTTTTAAAAATATTAATTTTAATATAAATTAATTGAGGATATTATAGATAAAAAAAGTTTATCCATTCTTGATTTATCAGAAAATGACAAATAAAAAAAAATTAGACAAATAAAACTTAAGGGACTCAAGTTAAAGTTTTTACTACTTAATCTTTTCTGCTTAGGATATTCGTGTCTAAAATACTGAATTCAATTAAATGAATGGCTTTGAGTGTTTGGGAGCTAAACATTATTGACAAGTTTGGATTGCATTAACATGTAAGAAAAAATATTAGTAGTAGTTCTATTTTATAGGTAAAGTACAAGTGAAAAATAGTGTAAATTTAATGATATGTAGTAATGAATTCAACCCATATATATTCTACACGATTTACTGTTACCTACGTAAGATAGAAACCAAACCAATAGTAATTATTAAGAAATATGTTCATTAAGGAGGTTGGTATTGTGATTCTTATGTTTGGTAAAATAATGATAGTCTAGTGTTAATTCTCAACAATTGATGGAAAACCAAGAAGGACTAGTTGACAAGCGGATCAATCTGTTTTTTTAATTTTTTGATATTTATATCTATTCCTTTGAAAAGATTTTTATTATTAAAATTACTAATTATTTATTTTTTTGTTAAAAAAAATGAAATAAACCAATTCTTTGCATTTCCACTTAGTGATATATTTCTCACCTAGCTACTAGGGAAGCCTGATACATACATAATTTTCATATTTTGTGTTTATGTTAAATTAACTAATTGGATTTAATTAGTTAAAATTTAAAGTTAGTAATATATTACACTTAATTATTGGTTGAGTATGTCTATGAAAGGCATATTATTTGTATCTTTTTGATTTGATATAAATAATAATGAGTATAAAAATACATATGGATAGTTTTTCTTATATCTCAAGTAGCCTAATAAAACCAAGTTAATTAACCAAGTAATGCTGATGTAATGAGCCAAGTCAACTTTCCTTCAGCTTGGGACTTAAAAGCTGTACCCACAATGACTTAAATTATCCCTCCTTTTTATGGGCAGGCTCCTATCTCGATTTAACAATTAAAATTGTGGAAAATGAAAATTTATGAATCAATAGCGGAAATGGATTCATGTGTATGTCTAACCTTCGGTTAATTTTCAATGGCACTAATAAGCACACAAGACTCCTCTACATTAATTTTTCTCTCCATTTCCCAAGTACCCACTTGGATGAAGTCATGTGTCCTTTTTAAAAATTAAGGGTACTTTTTTTACTTTAACTTGTTCGTGCACTTTCTTTTAAAAAGATACTACTCTCTTCGTTTCACAAAGAATGATCTAGTTTGACTTGACACGTAGTTTAAGAGTATAAAGAAAACTTTGAATCTTGTGTAGTCTTAAATTAAAGTTAGGTCAAATGTACAAAATTTTCCTTTGATCTTGTGGTTCTTAAACATGTCACCTGAAAAGTTGTTACACACACAAAAAAAAGAGGTCATTCTTTTTTAAATGAAGAAAGTACTAAAATTTAATTATAAACTCTTTTTCCTCGGAAAATAGAAACATAATTCACTTTAAATTCACTAAAATGCTTACTCCTACTTGAGTTATTCAATACTTTACGAGTTAACATGAGTTGAATTGTCAATTATACTAAACTTAATTCTCGATTCCACTCTAAGCCAACTAACACTTTCCATATCCATGTACAAATTGCTGCGAATTATAAACTATAAATGGTATGAATCTTTCCTATCAATTTAAATTAGCCACTAGACGAAGAAAAACAATTCACGTCCTTTTATAAACCAACTGGAATAAAATCATGTCCCATCTTAGAAGTCAAAGTTTTAATTACAACTATAATACACTTTTGAATCTGAACTCTGTAAAACAAAGGCTATAGGCCCTAGAATATTCTTTTAAACACGCAATAGGAAACATTAAAATGTGTAATATATATATATATATATATTATATATACGTAAATTTAAAACCACATACACCTTAGTAGATTCCAGCGTATTGACAAGCAACATCATTTAAGAAAAAAACAAAAAAGAAAGAAGAAAAAAAAATCAGGACTTATTTTGCTTATTGAAACAACTCAGCTCATTGAACTAAAGATTGACGATCATCAATCCGATCAGACACGGTTTGGTGTCAAATTTGGTGGAGTGGGTGCGGAACCAACGCGCTTACCACGCTCCGATCGGCAATTTTCAGCGAATTTCAAGCTGTTTTGGTGCATCCCTTTTTGCCTCTCTGGCCTCTGTGTACTCTGAAGTATAATAATGTTCTTCCGTTCCCTTGACTGGATCTTTTGTTGGTGGGAGAAACATGCTTCCCCATTGTGGGAAATGACAAAATGTAACAGGAAGAGTGCATCCTATGATCATGAATCCCATGTAAGTTAACCCTGTCGCTGTCGAGTACTTTGAGCTCGTGAAAAACAACAATTGAGTCAATCCAGAACCAAAATTTCCACCTGCCCCTGTCATTCCGCTTATAATTCCTAACGATCGTCGAGAAATGAATGGAATAATACCAAAAGTTGCACCACAAGCAGCTTGAGCTCCGATTGAGAAAAGGATCATAAAGGTTACCGCAAGTGGTAGAGAATTCGAACGACCCAAAAGAACACAAAATACTCCTCCAAGTGTTTGTAAAATCCACAAAACCCAAAGTCTCCCTCTCATACCGAATTTCTTTGCTGCGTAATCAGAAGAAAATCCTCCAAATGGTCGAGCCAAAAGGTTAGCCATACCAAATGTGGCAGCAATGATCCCCGCTGTGCTAAGCTTTAGATCAAATCTGCAAAATTTATATAAATTTAGATCTAAGTTTCAAATTTTTTAATTCATATGTTATAACAAACAATTGAAGAATTTAAATCAAACCTGTCGAAGAAGTACTCAGCAATGACGTTGTCTGTTGACAGTTCAACTCCCATAGAGTATCCATAGAGAAGAACAAAGATCCATGTCCTGTAGTTTGTTGCAGCATACCACAATATCTGTATTTAACAAAAACCATATAGAATTAGCAAAAATGTTTAAACAAAGACGTAAAAAATATTATTAAGTCTTGAGATGTAATTTGGACTTACGTTACCGAATTTATCTTTAGCAACAGTACCCGTCTTCTGTAAAGTGCCACGATTTCCGTCGGGTAAATCTTGGCCAAGAGTCAACACTAAAATACCCATCACCACATGAAGCCATCCAGGAATAAAAAATGCAATTCTCCAAGCAGTGAACGGAGTTGCACCCGCCCTCCGAATTATATCATACAAAAGTGGCATAATGAGTTGAGTTGCACCTCCACCCATATTACCCCATCCAGCAGCCGTTCCGTTCACTAGCCCTATGATCTTACTATTAAACATAGTACTCATCCAATATTGACACGACACAAACGTTGCGAGGGAAAACCCAATCATGAACCGGACGGCTACGTAGCCACCAGCGGATGAAACAAAGGACATACAAAAAACAGTTGGGGCCGACAACATGATAAGAAAAGCGCACCCATACCTTGGACCCAACAAATCACAAACCGCACCCATCGTAAGCCTAGATAAAATACTTCCGGATACGGAAGCAACCCCAGCGTTACCGACATCCATTTTTGTCAAATTAAGATTGTCCCTAATAATAGGAACTAAAGGTGCAGCAGCAAAAGTCGAAACGAAACAAGTGAAAAAGGAGATCCAGGAGAGCTGGAACGTAAGTCCATGAGGCTTCGAAAACGAATAAAACTTAAATTGTTTAGCCTTGTGTTCAGTAATCCACCGGTACTGAAAACTTGGCGGAGGTATCCGTAGGCACCATTGGAGAAGCCACGGAGAAAGCGAGAACAGGTTCTCTTCCGGTGACTCCATGCATAGAACTCCCCGGTGATCCTTCTACATCAGTCATTTCTTCAATTGAGGAAATAACTGGTTAATTTTATAAATGATTGATTTGAAATGTATTGAGAATGTAAAATTGATGTGTAGTATTGTGAGAATGTTGTATGTTTATATAGGGCTCAAAGCGTTGACAATGTGCAATTTTGGGAAGTACTTGGTGATTCCCAATGGTTACATTCTGTTTTTTGATAATTTTAAATACTTGTATGAATAATAAGGAATCCATTACGCC